CGTAGTAAAATGAGTACAACGAGTTCTGGTTCAACGCTCCGTCGGAGGATGAGAGCTAAGTAAACTGGCCAGGAGAAGCAAATGTTTAAGAGAGTTTATTTTATTAGTCTTTCGAATATATTTTGATATAAAATATATTTAAGAAATTTGTCTACAGATTCATTAAAAAGTTCCGACCATCTAAAGAAGCGTTTGTGAGCCAAATCTATTTAAAATATTTTAAAACTATCAACAGCGCTACGATTTTGTTCTCAGAGATCGCGCCAACAGAGTATTGGGATTTTCTTTCACAAGTAAAACCAGCTTTTCGAGCTTGTGTTTAGTATTCACGATGTTAGAACTGCATGAAATTAATAAAAATTGTTTAAAATTAGTGTCTAGCCGCCAAAATGTAAGAAAACATATCCAAAATCATACATTTTTCACAATTTTCTAACACTTCGCTACACCATCGAAAGCAAAATTCTGTTCGACAGAAAATTCGATACTCAACGAAAATTTCGACACGCTTGCATTTTTTATAAACTTGCTTTCTTTTTTACTTCATTTTAATTAGAACAAATTTACATAAATATGTATAAGCACACTATTTAGTTTGCTCGATTTGTAAACAAAGCTTCTCAGCGGTGAAAAATATACTATTGTGAACAACCTAAACGAGCGAAATTCACAATAGCGCTATTCTTCATCGAATGAGCGCCATAATACCAAATGAAAATTCGTTCGCTCAGCACTTTCGACCACAGTCGAAAATCGAATGCAACTCATAATAGGTATCTATATCACAATCACAATATAACCAGTAAACAACTAGGAATTTTCGATATCGTATCGATTATTCTGAATATCGATATTTCATGGCACGATAATCGATTAAGTTGATTTTATTTTAATCTATTTATTTTTAATCTACAAAAAATTGTATGGGAAAATACTAAAGTACATGAGGCGATTTTTAGTTGAAAGCAACAATCGCCTGGTGTAAACGGCCTTTCAACTAATCGCTTACAATGAAGTTGGTCGGCTGCCTACTTTCGTTCAACTTTTGGTTCAACTAATCGCCTGTGAAAGTTTAATCATGTATATTCCATATAATAGTTGTTGTTGTTGTAGCGGCTACAACAAACCCGCCCAGATAGGCTAATATCTCAGCCGTTGTCAAGTTCCACTAACGGCAGGCCCAAGAAACGTGCAGCCTCTATGGGGTCGGTCCATAGGGACGACGCCGTAAGGGTTGTGAGGTTTTCCGGGCATGCGAAGAGATGTTTCGAGTCATGGAGGGTCTCTCCGCATGCCGGACATTCGTTCGGCACATCCGCATTTAACCTACTCAGGTAGGAATTTAGCCTGCTGCAGGCCAGAGCGAAGTTGGGCTATTGTTGTCCTGGTCTCCCGAGGCAGTTGGAGCTCCGTTGCGTCAATGTCAATGTTCTCCCTATAATAGTGACTTTTGGTGGTGAACTTGGATTTTGAGACTATTTGGTATTCAGGGCGTGCGTGAATCGGTAATAAAGTTCTATGGGGAAAGCTGTTGAATAATATTTTTACTATGGTGAGACAGTTTTGCCAATCTGCTGTGTGAAATGATCTCTTTTTTGACAGCAGTAA